TTATTAATGAAATAGAAAAAAATTACTGAAATTCTTACTGAGGCAATGAACACCTGCATGCGAAAATACATACCTAGGCACGGTACATTAGTGGAACTACCGCAATATATTTTGCAATTAATAAGGCAAAAGAAAACCATTAAAAGAAAAAGATTTAGGGTATTTGATATACAGAATACAATATATTAAGTGCAATTTTAAGACAATTGGACCAGATAATAAAAGATAAAATTAGATTATTTGAGGATAAATACTATACAGATGTACTAAATAAAGTAAAGTTCTGTGGTATTAAAAAAATCAAAAAAACCAGTATTTAAAAATGATCAAGATAAAAGTATAGATAATTGCGAGGAAAGGGCAAATATAATAGCAGATGAATACTCAAAAATCCAGTATAGATTTGATGCTGCTAATGCTCCCAGTAATTAACAACTTAATCCTAGCTATAACTAGGGAAATGGAGTATTTGCGGATGGCAGATCTAATACGAATCAACAACAAACCTTCAAATTGATAACAGCCATAGATGTAGGAATTATTTTTAAAAGTCTTAAAAATACGAAAAAGCTGTAGTGAGGATGGTATTCCTAATTTTGTATTAAAAAGAATTGGCCCGGGATTTTATAAGCACTTAGCAATCGTTTTCAATAATTGTGTAAATTTATGGTATTTCCCCATAATATGGAAGCATGCTAAGATAGTACCTGCTCTTAAGCCAGGAAAATATCCCACTCTACTCGGTAGTTATAGACCCATTTCGCTCATCCAGAACTTATGAAAAATACTAGAAATATTCATGTTATAATGAGCACATTCAAAATAACAATACCCTGAAAGGGTTCCAATTTGGATTCAGGGAAGGATTATCCACTACACAAGCTCTTTTAGCACTGTCTAGCAAGGTGGTCAATGACCTAAACAATCGGCTTCGAAAAGGCATTCAATAATGTTTGGCATCAATTCCTTATCACAAAGATGAAAGATACTTTTAAATTTAAAAATCCAATTGTTAGATTAATAGATTACTACCTAAGGGATAGGACATTTTCAGTCAATATCGAAAATAGTAATTCGTCTTATAGAAATATAAAAAAGCAGGAGTACCCCAAGGTTCAGTTCTTGGTCCAACCCTCTATAATATTTATATTGTAGACATTCCACAGCCTCAAAATGGTAAATTATTAATATCTTTTGCTATGGATACATTTTAGAACATTTCAATGAACTTAAATATTTAGGAACAATATTTTATGAAAATTTCAAATTCACTAAACATGTGGAATATGTCCTTAGGAACGCAAAGAAAGCACACGGAAACGTAATTAGAGTGATAAATAGGAAAAACGGACTTAGTGCCAAAGTAAAAATGTGCCTATCCAAACAATTAATTAGACCTTAAAAACCTTTGCGTTTCCTTTTTGGTTTGACATTTCTTCAAGACAAATGGAATGGAATATGAGATAGAGATTAATGCCTGATGGAAATTTGCACCACCATGTCGTCGGCTATATGAAGCGAGTAAACTAATAACGGTAGACAAATTCATGACGAAAATAGCTATTAAACTATTAGAAAAATATATTAATTGCAATAACAATTCAGAGAATGAAGAAATGAAGAAAAATTTAATAATCTCATAGCAAATTACGGAAATTACTAAACTTAAATAACAATAACATGATGTTCGATAGTAATGACAAAATTGTATTCTATAATAGAAAATATGGCACATACAATATTGATGACCTGGTGTATAGCATAGAACAATATTAAAATGTATATATGTAGAAATATCTAGGTGTACGTATGTGATGTGTGTGTATGTATCTATATAAGTTTATGCATACATACACAGATGTTCAATTGTGTGCATATTGTAAATGTAGTAGTAGTTTTTAAGAATACTGAATTATTATTTATTTTATTTTTGTTTAGTTCTTTATTTCATGTTTTAGTGTTAAGTAGTTTTTAAGATTTAGTTTTAAAAACAACAAAATTTATATAGCAAGTTTTATAAACCAATTTTCTTGTTAATTTCTATTAAAATGATTGACATGATCAAAAAATAATTATTAATATTCCTAGAATAAGATCAAATCTGTTAGGAAAAAATAATTTTAGAAACTAGAGTTAAGTTTACTATGTAAATCATATAAATGTTAAATAAAAGGAATTTAATCAAAACAAAAAAAAACGTTCTTGTGCGTTTGTGAAGTGATAAGTGAATTTAAATAAAGTGAAAAATGGCTGGTCCTGGTAAAGGTGGAAAAGGCTTGGGAAAAGGTGGCGCTAAACGTCATCGCAAAGTGTTACGTGATAATATCCAGGGCATTACCAAGCCAGCTATGATACGTTTGACTCGTCGTGGTGGTGTAAAACGTATTTCTGGATTGATTTACGAAGAAACTCGTGGTGTTCTGAAAGCGTTCTTGGAAAACGTTATTCGTGATGCTGTCACCTGAGTAATAAACACGGCGTAAATATATTAGAATGACCCCTAATTATTTCAGAACAGCTTTCAACATAATGGCGAAATGAATTTGATTTCGAAAACACCCGGGCCGCGGTACCTAAATAAACTGTGTCAAAATCGCAAATAATTTCGTTTGGAATTGGACATTTATTTAATTCGCTTTGAAATATCCTTTGGAATTCCAAAAACCAGTTCATTATCGCAATTGTTGTTGTTGTAGCAGTCCTATTGCTTTTACACAATGGGCTGAGGTGACAGACGTTGGCCGAGTAAGACTCGGGTCGTTTCGGATCGTAGACCCCTCTGTCGTGGAAACGCCCCCTCTGTTGTGTTGCAATTGTTGTTTTTATTGATGTTAAGATCCGAAATATCGGATCTGTCCGTTTATTTACTTGAACAACCGACTAAAATAAAAATATGTGTGAACACTGTTCTTTACTTGGCAAAGATATAAATTTTACTACATTTCCGGTGGCGTCTACAATAAGCGTTTCGTTAAACTTTGAATATAGAATCATTTGTTCTCTCGACCAATAATGTACAAAGAAAGGGTCTAGACCTGTGTTATGTATTTTCCCTGTATACCATATATTACAAACTCCCTCTATAGCGTTTGATCCTGAAATCCCTCTGATGTGTAAAAAAGATTTGGTGGACTTTTATCTCCTACCTTTTGAATAAGACGGTGTGTTTCATTCCGCCGATGTTGAGACGGTAACGAACAAACAGACGGCAGATTTACCCATAGGAATTTTTTTTTAGATGGTTTATTTCGGAGTCGTAGACAGAAATTACACATTCCATTTGAACTGGTACGTTTTCTATTGGTACAAATGTTTCCCTCAAATTTGCAAGGACATTCTGTACATTGCCCAAAAACTTTAATAAATATTCCTGTTGAAGACGCATGAGAACTTTTAAAATTTCTGCATAAAGTACTGGGTTCATGAATTACTTTTCAGTGATTTGATAGCACGAGAACCGGATTGGAAATTATAAATTTTTATTTCAGGTTTCATACTAGGCCAAATTTATGTAATGTCGATTATAAATCTGATATTATTAGAAGTAGAGTCCAGAGAAGTATTTGTTGTTATTGACGCGTTATTTGGGATTTCTATATTTAAATAACTTAATAGGTCGGAGTATACAATCAATTATCACCGTCCAAAGAATCACTTATTTTTTTATATATTACAACCATTTTCGTCAATAACCTGCATAAATTGATGTTCACGTAGTATTTTATTTAAATTATAAATTTTAATCGTCGTTTTATTATTATTTTTATTAGATTGTTTTCCACTGCCACCAACATCATTGCCGAAATGTTCACATTAATATCTTTAAAACACAAACCACTATCATCAATATAATTTGCAGAATTTTTTTTTGACCAGACGTTTTGACATTTGATAAGTCTAAAAATCAAAGTTATTTAAATATACCACTTAAGGGGACCCCCCCCATTCTCGGGGTCAAAAATTTAAGACATAGCCGATTTATTGTGTCAGCATCAAGTGTCGGCTAAAGGGCTTCTCAAACTTTAAACGCGTTTTTCTCTTTTGCGAATGGCGGGCACGATAACTCAAAAACTAATAACCCAATCGATTCCAAATGTATAGCTATCGTATGAACTAGGATAAAGCCATTCGGTGAAGATCTTCCTTATTTTTTAACTTAGTTTTTTGACAAAAATCGGCGATTTTCCAAAAATATTTTTTCGAAGTCATATGAGTCATAAAAATTGGAATGACAGGTACCTGTAATAAATCATGTAACCGTTTACACAATCCATCCATTTTGTTAATGTTAATGTACTCTTTCTAACACCGTTGGAATTTTCGGATTCCGATGTTCCGCCATCAAAAATAAGGAGTTTTCTTTAATTACAAAAAACAACAACAAAACAATTAAAATTTTTTTGTAAATTATTTTTCTTCTCTTTTAAATCTTCAAATATATATGTGCAAAGTTACAAACCTTAACAAGCATTGGTATTGATTTACCAGCCCATTGAAAATCTTGAAAAATTAAAATCGAGAATGGGTGGGGTTTCCATAGAAAATTTTACTGTGTTTAATTTTAAATATTTCAATTCGTACACTGTGAAGATTAAAACCACAATGACAATAAGAATCTTGATACATGACGTTTATAACTCCAAACACCCAAATCTTCTCTAGAACCTAAGCTACCTAATATTTATTCCCTATATGAGTCATAGAGGCTGACTTCCAAAATGTGAATTGCTTTGCATTCGAACAATGCATCCTGTTCCATAATGCAAGAGTACAAAATATTTACATTGCATGCTATTTCAAAATGTCGCTGCCATGCATTTGCAACGCAGTTAAAAAGCAATCAAGCATCGGTTTTACTGTTGATGCATTGTTTGTTTACGAACACAAAATTAAATCGACGCCTCCGAACCATAGTATGCTAAGTCAACTTAGCATGTTTTAAAGTTCTTTACGTTTTTAGATACTACGGTCCTTAATTAAAATTCTCTGAAATTTTGGTAACCATCGGCCAATCCAAACCAACGTTATAAGCAAAAATGTACTTAGCATGGCACGTAAGATATAAGAAACTTCCATACTTTGAGAGCTTCTACTGAAAAACTTACTTTTTAGACTTTGCATACTATTCTTCGGAGGCGTCGAAATATCTCACGAAAAGGAAGTTAATGGAAAATTTTAATATGTATAACAAATAAATGTATTTTTAAAGTTATTCATTGAAAAGCTATTCTTTTTTGTAATTATTTGGGCAATACTAAAACACATCTTTACCTTTATTTAACATTTATAAACACATCGAAGTTTGTGTTGATAATCTGATAAATTACAAAAATATTGTCCAATAATGTTTTATGAAAAAAAAACAAATATGTGTGGAAAGCGTGGCTGTACTCCATACATATTTGTTTTTTCATAAAACAGCTGATTTGTTAGTGATACATTGCATCACACTCATTTTCTATTGTAAATGTTTGCAAAGTTCATAGTTGCAATGTTTCGTAACTTCGTATGTGTACGAAGTTTAAATTCCGTATTATTATTGTATACAAACATTGCATAAATACATATTGGAAGTCAGCCTATGTGTTTATTTAGCATATCAAGTATAAATATCTCAAATAATTTACCTACATTTGACAGCATTGATATAGGTCCATAACTTTTAGGGTTAAGAATTGACACTATTTTAGCATGTTTCCTTTTATTTGCGAAAAATAAAATTTCAAGGTTGTTAAAAATCCCTTTATTTTTCGCAGTATAAAATTTGGTATTCCATCATAACCACTACATTCTTATTTTTCAACTTAGTTAGTGAAATGCCTATATTATGCATATATTATTTGATGTTAAGAATTTGATAGCCTCACCCTCCGTATTATTGTTGTTACCATTAACCTATAATTCATTGTGATCTGAATTGCAGTCAATGATTTCTAGTCCTATTATTCCCCTCCTCGTATCTTTGAGAGTCCAGAGAAGTATTTGTTGTTATTGACGCGTTATTTGGGATTTCTATATTTAAATAAATTAATAGGTCGGAGTATACAATCAATTATCACCGTCCAAAGAATCACTTATTTTTTTATATATTACAACCATTTTCGTCAATAACCTGCATAAATTGATGTTCACGTAGTATTTTATTTAAATTATAAATTTTAATCGTCGTTTTATTATTATTTTTATTAGATTATTTTCCACTGCCACCAACATCATTGCCGAAATATTCACATTAATATCTTTAAGACACAAACCACTATCATCAATATAATTTGCAGAAATTTTTTTTGACCAGACGTTTTGACATTTGATAAGTCTAAAAATCAAAGTTATTTTAATATACCACTTAAGGGGACCCCCCCAATTCTCGGGGTCAAAAATTTAAGATATAGCCGATTTATTGTGTCAGCATCAAGTGTCGGCTAAAGGGCTTCTCAAACTTTAAACGCGTTTTTCTCTTTTGCGAATGGCGGGCACGATAACTCAAAAACTAATAACCCAATCGATTCCAAATTTTTACACGTTTCTCTGTGAGTGTATAGCTATCGTATGAACTAGGATAAAGCCATTCGGTGAAGATCTTCCTTATTTTGTAACTTAGTTTTTTGACAAAAATCGGCGATTTTCCAAAAATATTTTTTCGAAGTCATATGAGTCATAAAAATTGGAATGACAGGTACCTGTAATAAATCATGTAACCGTTTACACAATCCATCCATTTTGTTAATGTTAATGTACTCTTTCTAACACCGTTGGAATTTTCGGATTCCGATGTTCCAGTGAGGAGTTATCATGCCCGCCATCAAAAATAAGGAGTTTTCTTTAATTACAAAAAAACAACAACAAAACAATTACAATTTTTTTTGTAAATTATTTTTCTTCTCTTTTAAATCTTCAAATATATATGTGCAAAGTTACAAACCTTAACAAGCATTGGTATTGATTTACCAGCCCATTGAAAATCTTGAAAAATTAAAATCGAGAATGGGTGTGGTTTCCTTAAACAATTTTAATGCGTTTGATTAATAATATCTTTTGTCACAATAATTTCGTACGTATTTAATTTTAAATATTTCAATTCGTACACTGCGAAGATTAAAACCACAATGACAATAAGAATCTTGATACATGACGTTTATAACTCCAAACACCCAAATCTTCTCTAGAACCTAAGCTACCTAATATTTACTCGCTATATGAGTCATAAAGGCTGACTTCCAAAATGTCAATTGCTTTGCATTCGAACAATGCATCCCGTTCCATAATGCAATAGTACAAAATATTTACATTGCATGCTATTTCAAAATGTCGCTGCCATGCATTTGCAACGCAGTTAAAAAGAAATCAGGCATCGGTTTTACTGTTGATGCATTGTTTGTTTACGAACACAAAATTAAATCGACGCCTCCGAACCATAGTATGCTAAGTCAACTTAGCATGTTTTAAAGTTCTTTACGTTTTTAGA